GCCCAGATGTAGACACACAGGTCTATTATCATCCTGATGGTCAGCCTATTGGAACTACTAGCTCAGGTATAGGAGCAGAGAGATGTCAGTGACAACAGAACTAGATCTCTCAGGCCAGTCATTAGGTGAAGATGTGAGATTACAGGTGAACTGGAAATTATAGTTACACATTTCCCTAGGCAAGGGTACTAAGAGATTGCTCGTGTTAAATGTGCCTTCAACATAACTGTATATCTTTATTGCTATACATGTGCAATACTACATGTTTTAGTGTGCTTGTTTTATTTTGCTGTTGTGTTCCTTTTAATATGTTTTGTGTTGTGTTCATGTTATGGTAATGACTATTTGTTAACTATTTTGCAGGTACACTATTGCAGTTAATTTGTTCTTTATATATAGGCCCGTTGATATTGTTATTGTTGTAGCTAGCTACTTTTGCTTTATTAGTTAGCCATGCATGTTGCTTCTGATTGATTACTATGTACTATGGATATTCATTTACTTTTGATAATGTACATGTATCATGTCCTGTATGTAGTTAAGCATGTTGTCATTCCAGGAAGTGCTCTTTATAGTGCCATGTCTATTGCACATTTGTATAGTGTCATGTCTAATGTACATTTGTTTCATTTCAGTTTCAATTGTATTGACGCTTGATTACTTGGGATACTAGGTAAATTATTCTTGTTGCTTTAGGGCACTGAGGCTTGTGTTTACAATATATTTTTACAGTATAAACTTAGACTTACCCCAGATGATCTTTGCAAGGAATTGCAAAGAGTTTTGGCCCAGGGGAGGAATGTAACCCAATCCCAAAGCCCATTGGTACGGCTCTCTCTCTTTCTGGTAGAAATTAATGCCTGTGTGAGGAGTTTACATTTAATAGACAGCACACAAGAGGAGTTGAAAAAGAGGTGGAAAAGGTACCCATATGTGGTCATAAGAGCAAAGTCTATTTAGGAATATTCTTCCGTGAGTCCATGCTTTCTTTAGAATTCATTGGATCTTTGGCCTCATTAGTTGTTGATTAATTTTCTTCTGTCTTGCAGTATTTCCTCATAGATCTCTGGACTCATTTAGATTATCTGGAGTCCATCTTCCCTTCTTCCAATGATATTATCATCCATGTGAATTTATCTGTTTGTATTCAAGGTCTTTAGCTAAATTTTCTTCCTTCAGAGATCTTTGGGAAATTTGTTCCCTTTTCGTTATATTTCCCCATTGCTTATTTTCAGAATCCTTCCATTTTGATGACATTTTCCCAGGAACCTGGGCCTCTAAGGTATCTTAGCCTCCTTCCATTCTGGGCAATTCATGTTTCACCAGTTTGGATTTCTATCCCAGTTGACATCTTGGACAGAGCTGTCCCCCAGTTGGATGCTATTCTCCCTCGCTTCAGGTCTGTTGAATCCACACATATTGGCGTACTGCACTAGTTCCCTATGTTCTTCATTTCTCTGACTGAGTACTATCACAGCAAAGAGCTGCCATACTGTAGTCATAGCCAGAGTAAGCTTCGGCCTTTTGTTTTTCTGTGGCCCAGGGAGGAGGCCAGAATTAAACTCTATTGCAAGCATGGAGGTTGTTTTTAGATACCAGATTATGGTAGCTGGTGGAGAAGGGGTATTGAATAGGTATGAAATTAGTGATTAGAGATTATCCTTCTCTACTTTTAATTCATCAAATTGTGGCCTCATTACAGTTCCTCCTTAAGACAACAAAGACAACTGATACTACTTAATCTTAAGCATAATTCTTGTTTTGGAGAGGCTTGAGAGATCATGAGACTTGAAGAAAGCATACATGCTTTATATGCTGTTGTTCATGTGACTTGGAAACAAGACTTTATGTCTATAAACAATGAATTTCATCTTATTATGTTAATCCTAATTTTTAGGCATTTATGCTCTATTTAGAGATTTTGAATCATCCATTTTGTTAGCTATCCCTATTGGCTTTATGTCTTTTGAAAATTTAAGAAGCATGACTTCTATACCTTTCTCCAAGTCTCCTAGAGATAAAAATGTTATGTAACAGAGATCTGTAGACCACTTGACTAGATACCACCTTAAAAATGGTGTTAAATCATAACTAAATACCCTAGCTGTGAGCCTCTGGCAATGTTTTGGTCATAGCTCAACAGTGTAGGGGAAATTGTTGATCAGGATACTCAGGAGCTCTTATCAGAATTGAATCTACTGGCACATACAAGGAAATTCAGAATGTAGAAATCCAGATTCAAGAGAAGTGCAATCCAGTGAATGACTACAGCTATAATCAGATTGTGATATCTTCATAGAATCATAGAATTTGAGCTAGAAGGGGTTTAACTAGTACCAAATGGTTTTAATCATTGCTGTTTTATAATGTAGTTTGAAGTGTGGAATTGATATTCCATCTTCATTCTGGACTTTTTTTCATTTTTTCCCTTGATATCCTAGATTTTCCACTCCTACAAGTGATTTTTCTTATTACTTTATTTAGCTATATAAAGTACCCTTCGGGAATCTGGTGGGTATAGCATTAGCTCTGTAAATTAGTTTTATAGTGTTGTCATTTTAATTATTTAACATGACCCTACCATTGTTATTAGATCTTTCTCTACTTATTTAAGATGTAGTTATTCCTTTAAGGAATATTTTGTAATTTAACTTATACAAATATTTGATGGATTGACTCACAAATGTCTTATGCATTCTTTAGTTTCCCTTTCTATTATTCCCACCTGGATCAACATTATCATCACCATCACCATCTCCATCACCACCACTACCACCACCACCACCACCACTAACATCATCATCATTATCTTCAGTATTATAAATGTTGATTTTGTGGGAAGTTTAGTAGTATGAAATTTTGGTAAAGCTATTAATTGTCTCAATTGGTTTCTTTGCTTATTCACTAGGATTTTCTGAAGATCATGTCATCAGTAATTAGAGATAGTTTTTTCTCTTCTTTGCTCATTTTTATAATTTCTTTTTCTTGTATCCCAGGCAACTCTTCATATCTCAGGAGCTATACTCCTTGGATTTAACTTCACCATCATCATGCCTTGCTACCTCCACCCCTACACCCCAGGAAAAACTCATCACTAGGAAACTCACCACCACAAAGATAGCATCAGTTTTAGTACTCACACCTTATCAGTACTCTCAATTGCCTCTGCCATTTAGATTGGATGGTCGAACAAAGATCTCTCAAATCTCCCATTTATAAAGGTCTCAGAAATTCAAACATCTCTTCACTTTCCACCAGCTGCATCGCCTGGATTCAACTCTACCATCATCGTGCTCTCTTCTCCATACCAATTTCTTGTCAATTCCCTAATTTTTGAGATTTACTGAATTTATTGATTTATTTCTCATTTTTTAGTTATATAATCTTTCTCCTTCCCCCTTCTTTTTTTTAAGTTAAAAATCCTCCTCCTTTTCTACTCTTCAACTTTTGTTTATTATTCTTTTTTTCTGTCCTTTTTTCTAAGAAAGGATTCCGTTACCTTATGGTCTTTGTTGATCTTTCTTTTCTATCCATTCTGTATTTTTGTTCTTTGATTAATGGAATTCTTTTTATTTTTTGCTTATTTATTCTATTTCTGTACCTTATTTGTTCTTCTTCTAGCAAGTATCTATATTGCTATCTTTGTAGCTCTTATCCCACCTTCCCTTTGTCTTCTGTTATTCTGAACTCTTAGAATCATCAATTTAAGAGGAAGGTAATGAGTATGGAAACACTACCTTATGATAGAAATTATCCTGTGTCCAAAATCTTGTGATTTGCTGCTATCCCCTGCTAAACCCATGGTCAATCTTCTTCCTGTCTATCATGAAATCTATTTTCCATGTCCATGTCCTTCCACCTTAGTAAGTGCCAGTTATCCTCCCAGAGTTTTATTTCCCTTTCCTCAAAGTAGCATGTTGTCCATAGAAGCACACTACTCTCACAAAGGGCATGGTTCTCCTGTGCATCAATACTCCCAAATTAGAACAATTGTAAAGTCCTCTCTTCCATTGCTGATAAATAAATCCTCCTTCCTAGCCAAGTTGTTCTTCAGTGGGATGCTGGCTCCACATTGGGTTGAAAACTAGCCCTTTATTTGCTTTTTTCCCCCCAAGCCTTCCATTTTCTACCACCCTACCATTCTCCTACAGATCCTACAATGCTGGTGTCTTTGTCTATTCATGGTTCATAAAGTTAAGAGGATTATTATCCCTATTTTACAGATGAGGAAACTAGAACTCAAAAAGTTATGTTGCTTAGCTTAATATTCATTTAGTAGTAGAGATGTAACTTGAGCCCTGAAACCAAGTCTGAATCACCTCAATGTAGTGATTGGAATGTTAAGGCTGACATAGAATATAGGTTTTTGCTAGTGGCCTAAAAATGAAGTAGATTCCCTCTATGGTAACTGAACACTGGTACTGAGAGGTAGTTAGATGTGTCAGTGTAAAGAGCATTGGACTTAAAGTTAGGATAGGCCAAGGTTCAAATCTGGCTTTAGGCCCTTAAAATTGTGTGATGTGTGACCCTGGGCAAGTCATTTAACTTCAATCTGCCTCAATTTCCTCATCTATAAAATGAACAATAATGGCATCTACCTCCCAGGGTTATTGTGAAGATCAAATGAGACAATATTTGTAAAGTACTTTGTAAATCTGAAAGCACTATATAAATGCTATCTATTATTGTTATCATCATCATCATCATCATCATCATCATCATCGGTAACAGAGGTTTGGATGATGACCAGTTAAACTAAAACTTGAGTTTATTGTCCCATTAGAGATGCACTGAGTTATTGAAAAGCAGCTTCCTGTCAACATGATTGAAAAGGAATTTACTAAAGACTTACAATATGCTAAGCAATGTGCTGAGCAGGCATACACATAAAAAGACAAAGTTGGGCTCTACCCTCAAGGAGCTTACATTCTCATGGGGAGACAATGTTCAAAGTGTAGTAGTGACCACGGAAGAATACTTTGATTCAGAAATCTGCAAAGATGGTAAGTAGAATCTTAGAGGAGAAGACTGACACACTACATCCAGGAACAATTCCAGAACTGATTATGATGCATGGTTCCAGAACTGGTTATGTGGGGACAGGTAAAGGGGCTCTGGGGGTAAGGGGACTGACAAGGAAAAGAAGTCTGGAGTGTTGGGATCAAAGTGCAGAGTGACTGAAGCTTTTCCTCAAAGAAGAGATCTTACTAGTTACTGACTAGACACTCACAGTGGGAAAGGCTGGCAAGAGATTCCTCTAATAATAACTGACATCATAGAGTATTTTAAGTTTACAAAAAAATCTTTCCTCATAATATTCTTGTGATATAATTATCTTCATTCTACAGAAAAAGCAACTGAGGTTCAAAAAAGCTCTGCATCATAAGGCTCTAAGTGACTGAATGAACTGGACTTAAAATTGAGTCTTTGGATTTAAGGATGTGTTCTTTCCAGTGTTTCAGGGTACTTTAGCAGCCTACAGAAATCATCTGCCTCATGGTACAGATGAATATAATGGAACACCTTTCACACTGGCACACTCATGGCCAGGTCCTCTGTCCCTGTGGATGTGAAGAGAGTACCTTTGAGGGGCAAGATTTACTTTAAACTTTCATCCCTCTCTGTGTCTGTGGGATAGTTTGTTCTTTCAGGAATCTCACAAATGGAGTTATGGTTCTCCTGCCTAAAATCACTCTTAGTGCTCTTTTAACCTGATGTGAGGCTGGATTCTTGTGGGGAAATTTGGGGGAGGCATATGGAACCTTCCTGAGTCTCATAGGATGACCTGTGTAAGGTTTTCCCTCCAGCTGATTTAATAGGAAAGATTTCTTGAACATGGAACTCTTTTCTCTAAGATGAGGAAAAAAGTTATTGACCCTTGGGTGCTCATTGTAACTTGACCTGAGTATTTCCCACTACTTTCAACTCCCCAGATGTGCTTTTTAATTGTTGTGACTGTAGGGTCCCTTCTTTCTCTCCTTATCCAAGTTCTCACCTTCATCCTTCACAACCTATTCATTACCCTTAGGAGAAGATACAGGAAATGGAGTTGGGTAAGGGTGACAAAGACTTGATAGAGAGAAACTAGGGACTTAGAGGTAGGTAAACCTGAAGGAAGAGATTTGTTGGCTCTATTGATGGTCCCCACTAAATGCCAGCTCCTTAATGAGCCCACAGGGAACTTTGAAGAAAAGATCAGATGATTTTCCCAATCTATGTCTCAATTTCTTCAACTTGAGAATAGAGCCTTGAGGTCATTGTCCCAGCTCTGATTGTCCCTGTTGAATTCTATTAGCTAATTGTAGGTGGAGAGACCTATGTCAAATTATCCAGTATAGTAAGGACTCCCAAGGCTCATGGTAGCACAATTTCTGATCAGTTATAGAGACAAAAGAAAAGACCATTTACAATGCTCATTGGGATGACAGTTTGGAGAAATGTTCATGGAGAAGAGGTCAAGGTGACACTGTATGAAGACCTGAGGTAGGAACAATGAGATACAGAAATATCTGGAAGGACTTGGGTCTCCTTCAATGAGGCCATAAGGACCAGGAATTATGGAGGGAACCTTAAAACATGGCTGGTAGAGATACTGGGGATAGTTTCAGTTGGGAGATCCTTGGATCTGACAGAACAATAATTGAATGAGTGGACATCCCAAATCTTTGGATCCCAGCACTTATATTTGAGGCAGGACCTTGGAGTTTATTATATGTAGTATGAGGTGAGGACATCATTTAGGGCAAGCAGATTTTAAATCATCAGGACATTCCTGCCTTTGGGATAGCAAGACCAATGCCTCAACACTGACTTCCTCATTTAATGGATGGCCCATGTCTCCTCTGAGCTATAGTCTGTTTTTGCCATCCTTGAGTAAAGAGATGAGGAAGGTGAGCACTAGGAGAGAGTGAAGGTGGGCAAAAAGAAGGCTTAAAGCAGACTGAAGACTGGAAGTAAGAGCTGGGAAATAATGGGGCTGAGTTAGGAAATAAAGAAGGGAGAAAAGACAATACTTCCATTGAAATGGTTGCTGAGAAATCATTGTATTCAATAATCTGCTAGGTAGGTATAGGAAAACTAAAGAACAAACAAACCCTGATTTTATGTCCCCCTTCGAAGCTTCTCTTTTTCAAAAGATTCTGTGACTTGTGTGTGAGCTACTTTAGTTTCACCTCCACTTTTCAGGCAAATATCCTTATTATCCTATTTGACAACTCACTTTCCTCTCACCTCGCATCTCCTGCCAAGCCATTCACATACCTGCAACTACCTTCCTTTTTAGGTTCAAGATTCTACATCCAGATTCCTCAATTAGTTTCTCCCTCTCTGTGCTTACCCTACACTCTTGTCTGAAAAGAATTACCCCACTAATTATAACTCTTCCTGGCCTTTGTAACTCCAGACCCCTGGAAAATTGTTATGTAAAGCCCCTTCTACATAAAAAGAGGAAAGCCAAAGAGAATGACAGAGTCAGCCAGCATTTATTAAGCATGTATTATGTGCCAGGCATTCTACTAAGGACTAAGGATGCAAAAATTTTAAGAAAGGAAAAAACAAAGTACTTTTTTGCCTTTAGGCTGCTCACATTCCAATGAAGGAGACAGTTTATTTATCTAGGAAAATACAAAATTTTATACACTCACATCTATGTATCTTGAGATGTATCTCTCTCTCTCTCCCTCCCTCTCTCTTCCTCTCTCTCTCTCTCTCTCTCTCTCTCTCTCTCTCTCTCTCTCTTTCTCTCTCTCTCTCTCTCTCTCTCTCTCTCTCTCTCTCTCTCTGTATATATATATATATATGTATGTATATATATATACATATATACATATGTATATGCATATGTATATAGTTATATATTCTCTATGTAGAGAGTACATATATATACATATATTCTCTCTCTATATATGTATATATACATACTCTTTCTGTATATAGATATGTACTCTATGTATTCTCACTATGTATATATAGATATGTACTCTATAGAGAGTATATATACTCTATATATACAGTTTTATCTCTCTCTATATATACTGTCTCTATGAATATATATGTATTCACACATATATGTATATATATATATATATATATATAATATATATATATATATATATATATATATATATATATATAATATATATATATATATATTATATATATATATATATATGGGAAGAGAGAGAGAGAGAGAGAGAGAGAGAGAACTTAACCTTACAATATCAGAGAGAAGGCACTAGCAGCTATGGGGGATAGAAAAGGCTGCCTTCAGAAAGTGGTGCTGAGTCTTGAAGGAATTCAGAGGTAGCCACAAGTGACAGCCAGTGCAAAGGCACAGAGATAGGCCATGTTATAAAGAGATTTAAATTCCTAACAGAGGTCTTTGTACATGATCCTGGAGGGAGTAGGGAGCCAGTGGGGTTTTTTGAGTAAGGGGAGTGACATGGTTAAACATATCACTTTGGCTGTTGAGGAAAGGATGGATAGTGATGGTGGGTGGAGAGACTTGAGGCTGAAAGACTAATTAGATGGCTATTGTAATATTCTGGGTGAAAAGTAGTGAGGGTTTGAACAAGGTGGGGGAGTGGCCATAACATGACTTTGTTCCCATGTAGAAAGCCTTGTTCTCCTTGGATCCCACTTTCCTATGTCATCCTGGGGACATCTGTGCTACAATTTTCAGCATGAAACACCTAATTAGTGATGAGGTGAGTCCAGTGAGATGGGAAAGATCCTAGAGGTATTTGCTGCACCTGACTGTCTATCCTTTAGTCAGTCACTTGGCCATTCATCCAGTAGTGGTACAAATTTCATTGCCCCTGGGGATGTAATTTAGATTGGCTGTGCAGTCTCAATAAACCACTCTGGTCCCTCATTGGGGGTGGAGTAGAGAAAGCAAAGGACTCTGTGTCAGAAATCTAGGTTTTCTTCCTGGTCTGAATTGCTAGCTCTTCAGACTTGGATAAGTCACTTACTATCTCTGGGCCTTAATTTCATTTTCTTTAAATTGGGTTCATAGAATTTTCGAACTTTCCAGACACCTCCTAATCCAACTTATATCTGACAATGAGTAATAATATACTACTTAGCACTGTTGTGAGAATCAAATAAGATGACATATTTTCATTCTTGTTATTCAGTATTTGGTCTTAAATGGCATTCTCAACAAACATATCCATCCATCCTTCCATCCATCTATATATATGTGTGTGTATAATTGCGCATGTATACACATATATTAACTATTTATCTATTTTGTATTTGGAATACATTATACATATATAGTGTTGAAAATAAAGGAGTTTTATATCTATATCTATATACACACAAACACAGTTACACACACATGTATCACCTTCTTTTTCTATTTTTAAGCAGTTTGTATTCTTGCTGAAAAGGCAGAACAGAATATTCTTGCAAAACACTTCATGGCACAATTACAAAGTAACAGAACAGGAAGAAAGGGCATTGGGTTTCCTTCCTCCTACTCCATCTGGATTAATGTCATTAGCCTTGGGACCGGACAGTAAGGGAAGGGATCATAAAATTTAGAGCTGATAGCAACCTTAAAGATCATCTTTTCTGACTTCCTTATTTTACTAATGCAGCAAATAATGCCTCAAGACATTAAGTACCTTGTTGGAGACTTTCAACAAAAATGTCAGAGAGTTAGGATTCTAACATAGGATCAAAGTATGTAACATTCATTCATTCATTCACTCATTCACTAAAGTTATTGAAGTCTTTTGGTCCAGGCACTGTACTAAGTATCAAGGATGAAATAATAACTAAGAGACAGCCCCTACCCTTAAAGAGCTTACTGCTTATTTGGATAGTTGAGACACGGACACAGGTATATATCTTCCATAGAAGACATCATGTGCTAAGTTCCATAAATGATGAAAAAGTAACATGTGAAAAAATTTCAGAAGAGCAAGAAATCACTTCAAGCTCAGGAGGTAAGAGAAGGTTTCCTATAGGAGGTGATATTTAAATTAGATCTTGAAGAATGGGTTACATTTTCATAGGTGGAAATTGGAGAGGAGGCTATTGGGGGAAGAGGGAATTGGCATGAGTCAAAGAGTGGAGGTCAAAAAGCAATAGGTTAAGAGGGGATGATACATTAAATACCTAATATCTATATGTATGAGAGAATTTATCCCCTGGGTCAAGCTGTAGCACGTACAAATAAACATGAAGAGGGTAGTGAAAAGGTTGGAAACTTTTCCTAGATTACCTAATAAGTGTTTGTAGAATTGAGTTAGGAGATGACATGATAACTGCCTTTTAGTGTTTGAAGGATGGTCATATGGAAGATGAATTATACTTACTGTCCATGGTACCAGAGGACAGAATCAGGAGCAGTGGATAGAAATAGCAGAAAAGTCAACTTGGGCTTAAAGTAAGGGAAAAAAAATTCTTCTGAAAGAGCTATCCAGTATTGGAATGTGCTGCCTTGGAAGATGGAATGTTCCTTTTAATTGGAGATCTTCAAGCCAAAAGTCAGTGATCTTTTGTTAGTGATATTGTAGATGAATTTACCATTCAGAAGTAAGTTGGCCTTGATAGGATTAACAATCTTTCCCAACTCTGATACTCTGTGACTATTAACTGAATTGAAAGAACTTGTATTTTCAGCATAAGTTTTATTATTTCTCTTTTATAGGTGAGGGCAGGTAGGCAGTGCAGTGGATAGAGCACTTGGCCTGGAGCCAGGAATATCTGAATTCAAATTCTGCCTCAGACACTTACTAGCTATGTGACTCTAAGCAAATCACTTAACCTTTATTTGCCTCAGTTCCTCATCTGTAAAATGGGGACACACTGGAGAAAGAAATGGCAAACCATCTTTGTGTTTGCCAAGAAAACCCTATAGACAAAATCTAGGAGTCATGTAGAGTTGGATATGACTGAATGACTAAACAACAGCAATAAAAACAATTTTATAGATGTAGTAACTAGCTGTGTATCTTCCTCCAGCCTATTTTCTTCTGTTTATCGTTTTCTCTCTCTTTTTTATACTGTCCCTCCTCAAAAGTCTGTTTTGCTTCTGATGTCTGCTTCCATTGGTCTAACATATGTTTTCTTCAGATAAACTAATAAGGAAAAGCTAGAAGGGTAACTCACAGTAAATACATGATAATTAGAGATGGGAATGAGAATGCATTCATGAACACTATGTGCAAGGCACATGATTTGACACTGCATACAAAGAAGAAAAACAGCCCTGTTCCTTTCCTCAAGAAGCTTATATTCTACAAGTGAGGAAATTACTGGAACATCAGGCAGTCTGAGATACGGTACACTATTCGAAGTCTCAGGAAAAATATAGACCAAGTTTCTAGGAAATTCTGAGGGAGAATATTTTTAGCTAATTAAATTAGGTAAATCCTGGAAGAGGAAATGGAGACTTAGCTGTCAACCTTCATGAAAATGATGAATTTCAGAAGACAGATGAGAGAGGACATTCCAGGCATGAGGGACAGTCATTTAGTTGAATATAGTGAATTGTGGGGAAATTGGACAAAATTGAAGAGCAGCCCGTTAAAAACTGGAATGCAGAGTAAGTCAAGTGAAGCACTATTAAGTGAGCTGGAAAGGTAACCGGGAGACAGATGATGAAGGACCTTAAAGGTGAGACTGAAAGAGGTTGTATTTTATCTCATATACAATAAGAATCCACACAAAGTTCTTTAGCAAGGGAGTGACTATCAGAATTAAGCATTATTTGGATTATTTGAAGGATTAAGGATAAAACAAATTTTAAAAAATGCTTGGCAAGTGGTCCAACTAAGCAAAGTGATCCTGAGAACATTTAAAGATGAAACTAGAAAGATAACAGAGAGAAGACAGATGAAAAATTGCTGTAAATACACATGTATGTGAGATATATACACATATGTATATATACATATGTGTATATATATTATATATTTGTGTGTGTGTGTGTATGTATACAGATTTTAACATTATTGTACCAGATTGCTTATACAGGAGTTAGAAATGGCACTGAAGAGTAGATCAATTGTACAGATAAGATGTTTTTGGGAGAAGTGACACAATTTTAACATCATTGAGGGACTGATTCTTATCTAAAGGAGGAAAGGGAAGATAATAAAGGTGTAGGGGGAAATTTTTTATTTTATTGCTACTGCAAAAATAGTGACTAAAAACTTTTGACATATAAGTTTGCTTCCTATTTCTCTGTCTCTCTGTCACTGTCTAAGTCTCTCATATACACATATACAAAATTTAGGAAAATAATAAAAACAAATAAATAGCATCCTTCATGATGGTATTAGAAGGGAAGAGGCAAACTTTTGCAAGCAAAATTATACAGTTGACCATATCTTACATGAAAATTATAAAACTGCTCTGTCTTGTTCTCCTCAGAATAAGAGAGAAATCTCTTGATCCATGTCCAGGATTCTCTTTTCTCCATCTCAATCCACAAACTTAAAGGCTTAGTCAATAACCACTACCAATGGTTATGTAATTTATCAAAAATATTATCAAGTAATAAAGAAATTTAACAAGCAGTTAAACAAGATAAAGAAGGCTGTGACTGGGCTCCCAGGGAAATCCAGGAAAAGAAGCACTACTGATTGGACTAGCCTCCAGGGTCTCAGATACAGTCCACAGCTTTGACACTCATCTATCTTACTTCTCTCCATTTACTCTCAGGTTCACACCATCTCCTTCTTGTATCTCAATGTCAACTCTCAACTTCAATGCTTGTTGTGTCCCAAATCTTTGAAGAGTCTTTTCCTTTAGGCAGCTGGAATCCTCAAGCCAACTAAACTCTTCCGAATGCCTGTGAAAAGTTTCAGGAACACAGAGCTACATCGCTATTATTTTTTCGGCTCTACTAAGAACTTTTTCCTTACATAAATGCTGAAATCTTCCTCTCTGCAGCCTCTGTGTATTGCCACTAGTTCTGCCCTCTAGGGTCAAGCAAAATTAGTCGAATCTCTCTATGATATCACATATTCTTATTCTTAAAGATACCATTTTTTTTCACCATCTCTTTTTCGGGTTACAGCATCTACGCTATTCAATTGATAGTCATTTGACTATAATCCCTTGTTGTGTATTATGGGTCCCCTCTTGCTTACTCACATTCCTTTTAATGACCAGAGTAATTTCTGTTGAAGTTACTATCCCCTTTCATTTCACCTCCTCTTCTTTCTTCTTTTTCCCTTGCTTGTTTATTGAATTAACACAAGATAGCGACAATTTCCTAGCAATTAAATATAAATATCCCCCAATTCCCTCAGTCCACAGAACTGAGCATCCTTTTATCCTTTCATTCCTTTTTGCAGATCTTACCCTGGAAACAGCTTGCTCCAGAGAACCTTACCATGGTCACTGAATTCCTTTTGCTGGGCTTTTCCAACCTCCAGGAACTACAAGTTGTCCTCTTTGCTGTCTTCTTCTGTCTCTACATGATCATTCTGTGTGGAAACATCACAATTGTTATAGTCATCCTCCTTGAGCACAACCTCCACACCCCCCATGTATTTCTTTCTAGGTGTCCTCTCTGTCTCTGAGACCTGTTATACCTTTGTCATTTTGCCCAAGATGCTTCTCAATCTGCTCTCTATGCTCAGGACTATCTCCTTTACCAGCTGCGCCATCCAACTGTTCTTTTTTCTTTCCTTTGCTATCAATAACTGCTTATTGTTGGGTGTAATGGGTTATGACCACTATACTGCCATCTGCCACCCTCTGCGCTATCCAATCCTCATGAACTGGAGGGTCTGCAGACTCCTAGCAGCTACTTGTGGGGTGAGTGGATTCCTGATCTCAATGGTTGGCACCACCTTGGTCTTCATTCTCCCCTTCTGTAACTCTAACAAGATCAATCACTATTTCTGTGACATTTCACCTCTTATTCACCTTGCCTGTGGTGACACCTATGTCAATGAGATGATCATATTCATCTGTGGTGTACTGGTGCTTGTGGTCCCATTGATTTTTGTCTGCATCTCCTATGGATTCATTGTCAGCCCCATCATGAGGATTCCATCCACTGAAGGGAAGCAGAAGGCCTTCTCTACCTGTGCCTCCCATCTCACAGTAGTCATAGTCCACTATGGATGTGCATCTTTTGTCTACCTGAGACCCTCGTCCAAGGTCACATCTGACAAAGACCAGTTGGTGACAGTGATTTACACTGTTATCACCCCCTTATTGAATCCGATGGTTTATAGCCTCAGGAACAGGGATGTTCAGATAGCCATCCAGAAAGTTATTAGTGGAGGAAAGCTTTCCCATAAAATCCTATAACTTCAAATTTCAGAACTGCCAGCAAACAATTGTATGATATATGGTTGGATACATGGTTGATGTGGCCATAGTCATGGGTTGAGTGCTATTCTCAGAGCTAGATGCTTTTCAAACTTGTACTTGGATTTTTTTTTCTGTCGTGTATATTCAATAGAAACATGTCAGGAGGCCACTAGTGGGGCCTTATTTGAGGATAAAGTACCAGGAACATTATACCAAATGTCATGAGGCAGCATGACATAGTAGATAGTGTTGGCTTAAGAGTCAAGAAGACCTGGTTTTAAATTACACTTCTGACATTTACTATATAACCCTGGCCAATTAATTTAACTTCTTTGAACCTCATTTCTTCATTTGTAAAATGAGGGTAATAATACCTATTGTACTTATCTCATAGTGTTATTTTGAGGTACATATGAGATAATAAAGGTAAAACACTTTGGAGATTTTGAAAGCAGGTGGTCTATATGGTGAGGGGTGGTTGGAATCTAATCTGAGTGCTGAGAGTGCCAGGGCATGGACAAAGAGACAATGGTTTTGCAAGTCAACACCAATGAGAGAGCAAAGAATGAATGTGGGAGAGTGCAGAGCCTGCTTTCACTTTGAATTTGCTTGGATTGGTTTTCCATGTATGGACACTGTTCTTGAGAGTATATGGGCATATATCGATATACATGCATCCTAAAGAGCACATACTTTTTCCAAGGAAGCAATTATTCAATTCAACACTTCAACGAAAATATATTAAGCACTTTACTATACTGATGGAATCATAAGTCTGGTCTAAGGAAAAATGTATAAAATAATCAGGAGAAATACTATACTAAATGGATTTGGGAATTAATTATTTTAGTAGTTTCCTTTAATGATACAGCTCATAACCCATCCATGAATGACCATCCTATATGACTAGTCAATTTTTCCCCCTAATTTTGACAGATAGAGTCTATCCAATGTGCTGGATATATTTTTTTGATTTCTCCTGACATATGTTCATGAAACAAATTTTTTAAAAAACTGTGACTGTCTTCAAGAAGCTTGCATTCTATGGATTCAAAGTCTTAATTATTTTTGTCTTCAGAGTTTCATGCCAGAATGCAAATGCCCTGACAGATTACTAGGTAATATAAGGACAAAGGAGTCAGGAGAGGGAAGAAATTGGCTTTAGTGATACCAATTAGGAGGCAATTACAATGATTCAGGCCAAAGGGATCAAATTAGGATATAAGATGAGAGAAATGTTACTGAGGTAAGACTTTAAAAATGGCATTTGATTGGATATAGATGTTGAGGGAGGGGACTCAAGGCCAGAGTGACTGGAAAGAAGGTGGCAGCATCAAGGGAAATGCAGAAGTTCAGAAGAAGGATAATTTTGGGAGAATGAAGGTAATAAAGTGTTCTTTATAAGCCTAACAAGTTTGAGATACCTATAGGATATCAGGGAGAAATAACAATATAGTTGGTAATGTGGAACTAGAATCCAAGAGAAAGGGCAGAGCTGGATATACTTGTTTTCAAGTCATCTGCATAGGATCATCCCCTAATTGAATCTATAAGAATTGTTGAGAGATTGTACAAGAATTTATATGAACTGTTACATATATGTATATATATATTTATATATAATATATATGTAACATATTAACACAATAGTAATAAAATTCTTCTATTTGTATCTCCTGCTGCACTCACTCTTCCTTTCATTGAGGAATTTTCAAGCATGTTTCAGTGATATTATTTTTTATATCTATCATTTCCTACCCACCACACTCTCCAAGTAGTAGCCCTTCCTTACAACAAAGACCTATAATTAAGCAAAACAAATCAATGGATTGTCTATGTTATATTTTATATTTCTTCTAGTTCTTGTTCATGTTCTTCTTCTGTTATTCTGCTGCTTCAATACTGTATTTGTTTATGTGTAATTGAAAAAAAACGCTATTAAGGAAAAAAAATTTAAAAATTAGTTCCAAATTTTCTCCCTTCCTCTAGCCTCTCCTCCCCATTGAGAAGAGAAGTAACATGATATCAATTATACAGGTGAAGTCATGCAAAATACATTTCCATATTAGCCTTGCTGCACAAAAAGCAAGAAAAATAAAGTGAAAAATAATTCTTCAGTCTTCATGCAGAATTCATTATTTCTCTTTCTGGAGGCAGATAGCATTTTACATTGTGAGTCCTTTGGAATTGTTTTGGATCATTGTATTAATTAGAATAGTTAAGTATTTCACAATTGATCATCATTACAATATTGCTGTTACTGTGTACAATGTTCTCCTGGTTCTGTTTACTTCACTTTGCATTAGTTAATACAAATCTTCCTAGGTTTTTCTGAAAGCAACCTGCTCATCATTTCTTATAGCACAACAGTATTCCATCACAATCATATGCCAAAATTTGTTCAGCCACTTCCCAGTTGATAGGCATCCCTTCAATTTCATATTCTTTATTTATTTTATTTTATTTTTAGGCAATTGGGGTTAAGTGACTTGCCTAGGGTCACACATCTAGTAAATGTCAAGTGTTTGGTCTGAGGCCAGATTTGAACTCAGGTCCTCCTGACTTCAGGGCCAGTGCTGTATCCACTGCACCACCTAGCTGCCCCCTCAATTGCATATTCTTTACTACCACAAAAAGAACTCCTATAAATATTTTTATGCATATAGATCATGTTACTTTTTTACTGATCTCTTTGGAATATAGACCTAGTCGAGCTATTACTGGGCCAAAGGGTAATATGTAGTTTTATAGCCCTTTGGGTACAGTTCTAAATTGTTCTCCCAAATTCACAGCTCTACCAACAGTGCATCAGTGTCTTTATTTTTCCACACTGCCTCTAGCATTTATTATTTTACTTTCCTGTCATGTTAACCAGTCTGATGAGTGTGAGGTTGTACCTCAGAGTGGTTTTAATTTGTGTTTTGCTAATCAATAGTGATTTAGAACTTTTTTTCATGTGACTATGAAAAACTTTTATTTCTTTGAAAACTGCCTGTTCATAGCCTTTGACCTTTTATCAAGTGGAGAATAGCTCTTATTTTAATATATTTGCCTCACTTCCCTATATATTTGAGAAATGAGACCTTTATCAGAGAAACTTGCTATGTGTTTTCCCCTCAGTTCCCTGCTTTCCTTCTAATTTTGGCTACATTGATTTTGTTTATGCAAAACCTTTTAAATTTCATGTAATCAGAATTATCCATTTTACTACCCATGATCCTCTCCATCTCTTGTTTGATCATAAATCTTCCCTTATCTATAGATCTGACAGGCAAAGAGCAATGATTTGTTTTTAATACTTATTATTTATGATTGAATTGTTTAGTCATCATTTAAGTCTGAATTCTTTGTGTACATTCCTCTCATTGATTTTAATTTTAATTTTGTTATAATCTATAAATAATTTAGTTAATATTTCTGCCTTACTGCAGAAATTCATTTATTTATGAATTCTTTTTGCTCTAGTGCACAGTTTTTGTAAATATTGTAAGCAATAAACAGTTATACTTGTAAACTTGTTAAGATTCTCATTTAGTAATTGCTAATGTTTTATCATGTTTTTGTTTTTCTTTGAGGTACAAGAGAAAAGGAAATAAGAGACTACTGAAGCACAGGAAAACCACAGAGTTGGCTTCAGAATTCACTTTGCATTGAGCATCAGGGGCTGTCTTTTACCTTTCTTTGTATAACTAGCCCTTCACACAGGTTCTGATATATAGTAGGCAGTTAATAAATGTTTATTGACTTAATTATTGTCTACAAACATTCCCATGTCTCCTTCACCCCCAATACCCCCTCCCAATCTATCCTCACTATTACCCCACATCTCCCTTCCCTTTTACAGCTAAACTCCTTGAAAAGGAAGAAGTAGAAGCCTTTAGTTCATTTCCTCTCGCTCCCTTCTTAACTCTCTATGGTCTGGCATCTGACCTCATTAATCAAATGAAATTGCTCTCTCCAAAGTTACCAGGTATCTCTTAATGGCCGAATTTCATGACTCTTTCTCTGTAGTTATCTTCATCTTCGTCCTCATCTCTGTCTCTGTCTCTTTTTGCTTGATCTTTTTCCAGGTCATGCCTGCTAACCAAGGTTGTTCCCCAGGGCTGTATCCTGGGCCCTCCTCTCTCTACATACTATTTCATTTGGTGATCTCATCAGCTCCCCAGATTTCAGTTATGATTTCTATGCAGATAAAACTCTCAGATTTATTTGCCCAGCCCTAACCTCTCTTCTGACCTCTAGTTAATTATCTCCAACTATTGTACTGAAATGTCTATTGTATACCTCAAATTGCTTGTCCCATACACATCTGAAACTCAACCTGTCCAAAATGGAACTCATTATCTTTCCTTTCCAAACTCTTGCTTCTTCCTAACTTCTCTATTATTGTGTAGGGTACCACCATTTTCTGTCACCAAGGCTCAAAACCTAGGTATTATCTTTGAGTTCTTACTCTCTTCCACTCATAACCAATTAGTTATCAAGTCCTGTAGTTTTTACCTTAGTAACGTCTCCTGCTAATCGCTCCTTCTCTCCTCTGACACTGCTACCATCCTTATTCAGGTCCTTATCACTTCATGCCTGGACTATTGCAAAGCTTGCTGGTTGGCCTTCCTGCCTCAGGTCTCTCCCCATTCCAGTCTCTCCTCTATTCAGCTCTCAAATTTATCTTCCTAAAGTGCATATCTCACAACGCTACTTCCCTAATCAATAAACTCCGGTGGCTCCCTATTTAGCCACCAGGATCAAATACAAAATTCTCTCTTTGGATTTTAAAGTACTTCATAACCTAGAATCTAGGTCCTAGACCCTTCCTCCCCTCCCAATCTTCTTACACCTCACTCTTTCCTATGTGTTCTTTCATCCACTGGCTCTGGCTTCCTTGATGCTCCTTACAGAAGATACTCCATCTCTCAACTCTGAGCATTTTTGTTGGCTGTCTGCCATGCCTGGAATTCTCTCCCTTCTCAACTACTTCTGGATCCCCTTGGATTCCT